TAAAACTTTCATTTGTGAAAATCTTAAGTCTAATTCTATCTCTGTCCTAACAGGAATACCTTAGTTTTGCTAAAAAATATGGTCTTTTTTTTTTTTTTTTCTGATCAGCTGCTGAAAAATATGGTCTTCATCCTTTTCTCTTGCCATTGGTTTGTTCTTTATGCATGCAGGTGGAGCTATTTTCTTCACCACCTAAACTCTTTACTGTGAAGGTTCCCTCATAAGTTGAATTAGTTGTTCTTAAACTCTAGACCCGTATGGACCATCTCCTCCGTTGAGGCATTGATGTACCTGACCAATCAAACGTGAACAACCTTCTCTTTTTGCTTTCAAGTATTTAGCCAATTTCAGAAATTTCAAGGTAAAAAAGGGTAAAGACTTTCTATTCTTGAAAAGCTCAGATCAGATCCAGCAGTGGAATATATTCTAAAAAGGATATAGAGAATATCTGGATTCACCTTCTGAATATCTCCACTCCCATGTACTGTTTTGATCACTTTCCTCCACAGGGCCTCCCTCTCCCTTAAAAAATCTCCATTTCCATTTACCTAAAAGTGCTGCATTAAATTTCTCAAAATTTTTTATAACCCCCCATCCCCACTTCCTCTTTACCCATACATACCATCGTAGTTAATATTACTAGCAACAGTTAATAAAAAATGTTTTTTTAGACTGTTCTGCATGTATAATAATTATTGTTATTATTATTATGTTTTATTACAATTATAGTGTATTCGAGATAGCTTTTATGCACTTATCATTATATTTAAAAAATTATTTTTTTGAGTGTTAATCATGAAAATTAAACTATAAACTTATATTATAGAATAACATGTAATTATTAACAGATCTAACACTGCACATTATGATTATAAGTATTTAAATATTTTTATTAAATAAGATTCATTAAAAATATTTAATATTTTAAATTTCAAAATTTAATATTCAATATGCATAATGAAGTATCGTGTGAATGGAAAAACACCATTCTCTAGCTAATGATAAAGTAAAAAATATGATGTTATTCCTCAAGTGAAATAATATCTAGATGTATTTTAAATAAAAAAATAAAGTAAAAAATATGTTTAAACTATTATAATTATATCTTATTATAAAATATGAACTATTAAATGATGAGAGGTCACTAATAATAACTCCTTAGAAGCTCTTTAACTATTTATCTTTGAGAACATTAACCCCTCAACATATATTTTGTGCATTTTACCTTATAAATTTTAGCATTATTATTTTAATTAGTTCAAAATATATAAAATTCATTAACATGAGTTACATGATCGTTTTTAATTCATTATCCTATCCTCATCAATGCCATGCTAGCAAAACTTTGGTTCACTTAAACCCCCAAAGGTGAAAAAAATTCTGTCATAGATAAAGATTCATTTGCCCTTAGTGAGATTTTTCCTTTTTTTTTATAAGATTAAGTGAACTATTCTTATACCAATATGGTACTAATGACCATAGGATAACATATTAAAGATGTTTATGTGATATAATTTTATTTATTTATTTATTTTTTTGAACAGATTTTACAAGGGCTGGGTTCGAACCCCAACCTGGGGAGGGGGGAATGTACCGTGGGTGGCTTTTGCCACTTGACCGAAGGGCTCGGTGCTAATTTTATTTATTTTAAACTAATTACAATAATAACATCAAATTTATAAATTAAAGTGTATAAAATATATATATATATTAAGAGATTAATAATCACAAAAGATAACAAGGTTTATAGGGCATCATGCCTATTATAACCATACCATCTTCAAAATTACTTCAACTTAGGTGGGGGTGGATTGGTGATTTGACATTTATTATTTATTACAGTAACGGTTGACTCTCGTTGGTAGGGTCGAACTTCACTTTCTGAACCAAATCCAACTCATTGGCATTTAGGCCTTCCCACGATCTCATCTCCCACCTATTTTCCCTGTCCTCACTCCTACTCTACTCATTATTTTCTTTTTCATTTAAAAAATTTTTTTTCCATAATTATTTCTAAAAGAAAATGGCCTCAAAATTATGTTATTCGTCAGAAAATAAGGACTATAGTATTAGTTCTTAAAAAAAAAAAAATTAGGGAAAAGGGGTTCCGGGCCCTCAGCCGGTGCCCCACCACCGAGCTCCGATCTTGGTTTAGTGGGATGTGTCTTTCTTCTCATTTGGATTGATTCTTGTGTTGGGTTTCTGCTGTTTTGAATCAAGGTGTGATCTTTAAGGTTGGGGAATTGGGGGTGGGATGGGTTCCAAGAATTGGTTGTACCCGGCTCCCACTTACCGAACGTTGGAGACGTATTGGGACACCGACGAGGATGCTCCCGGTCCACGATGCGGCCACACCCTCACCGCCGTTGCTGCCACCAAAACTCATGGTCCTTCCCTCATCCTCTTTGGAGGTGCCACCGCCATTGAGGGTGGTTCATCGTCTGCTCCTGGAATCAGTTAACTTCTCCTTGAACTTTGTTTCCTCCTATCTTATCAAATCCCTGTGGATCATACTGTTTTTTAGATGAATTGTGCGTGAATTAATCGGTTTGATTGATTTATTTATTTTTGTTGTAAATGTAGGATTGGCTGGTGTCACCAATTCAGTTCATTCCTACGATGTTATCACTAGAAAGTGGACGAGGTAAAGTCCGCTACCTCCTTTTCTACCTTATCAATTTTGGTTCTCACCATTCTTTTTTGCAATTACAATTGCATTCTATCAAGATTTTTGCCTACTTATTCCTTTTTTTCTGGGGGATCAATTGAAATATGCAGAATCATACCAGCTGGAGAGCCACCATCTCCCAGGGCTGCCCATGCAGCAGCTGCAGTTGGTACCATGGTCGTTTTCCAGGTGAGTTAACTGAAAAATTCATGTTAAAGTTTAAGAAATTTGTAGGCTTTTTTGGGTCTTCTGTTTTGAGGGTGATCATTGTTATGGTGTTGAGCAGGGCGGTATAGGTCCTGCTGGGCATTCAACTGATGATCTTTATGTGCTTGATATGACCAATGATAAGTTCAAGTGGCACAGGTGAGTTTCAGTTCTACAAAATTTATCTATTCATCTAAGCATTTTTTTTTTCCTATTGCCTAATGGTAATCTGATTACTGTGTTTTTTGGATTTGATATGAGTAGGGTAGTTGTACAAGGACAGGGTCCTGGTCCTCGCTATGGCCATGTGATAGACTTGGTTGCACAGAGATATCTTGTCACCGTTAGTGGCAATGATGGTATGAACATTCCATTTATCAGCTTTATGTCTTCATAAGTTTCTAAAACAGGCTGTGATTCATAGTACTCTGAAAAGAATGTTCACATTTCTGGAAACTAAGATTATGAATTTATGATACTATAATTGCCTTAATTAGGACTTTAGTGATCTCTCTCATCTTTTTGAACTTTCAGGCAAAATCCTCACTCTTAAATTGTTTCACTAACTGGATAATCATATGGAACATGGTCTTGCCACATGGTCTGCCTGTGTTCCAGACTTTTATATTAGTAAAAGTTGCATTTTATTTAGTGTGATGGAATGAAGACTGCTGATTTTATTACTAGGCAATAGGCAACCAACTTTAGAACATCGAATGTTGGTGTTTCTCTTTTTTTCTTTAAACGACAATGTTGGTATTTCTCTTCTCTGGATAATGTCCAATGATTTTTTCTTAATGTATTTATCTATTTATTTTGATTAGGAAAAAGAGTTCTCTCTGATGCTTGGGTTTTGGATACTGCCCAGAAGCCATATGTGTGGCAGAGACTAAACCCAGATGGTGATCGACCTTCTGCTAGAATGTGAGTGCAATTAATTTTTCAATAATTTCAAAGCTACTAAGTTTATGTATCTGTTCCTATCTGCATTCTATTTTTTCTGTGGCTTACATCGACCTTACAGGTATGCAACAGCCAGTGCCCGCTCAGATGGCATGTTTTTGCTCTGTGGTGGAAGAGACTCCTCTGGGGCGGTATGGAAATTTTTTGTGTTTGTGGTTGTTTTGAGCCATTGAATTTATGCACTCTCCAAATTAAGCATGATATATATATATATATATATATATATTTGTAAATAAGCTTGAGATATCATAACATGCTTGAAATTAAAGCGCAAACCCATTATTAAACTTCTTTATTAAGATCTTTTTTTTTTTCATCTTTATTAAGATATGTTGATTGTGTCATTTGAGATTATTATTATTATAATAACTTCTGCCTTTGAGATTGTTAATATTATGTGGGTTCCACAGCCACTGGCAGATGCATATGGACTGCTTATGCATAGGACTGGTCAATGGGAGTGGACGCTTGCACCTGGGGTCTCCGCTTCACCAAGGTATCAGCATGCTGCGGTAAGTTTATGCCACAGCTGTCAAATTATTGTTATGAGTACAATAAAAATTTGTATGGGACCACATCAATCTTTTTGCTGATAAAGAAAATGATCATTCTTTTTGTTGAACTGAATTAGTTGTTGAAATTTGAAATGGAAAGTCGTCAATAGTTCTCTTAAAAATGTGAGCACTTCTCATTGTTACACTTCTCCTGTCATGAAACGTGATTGTTGTTGTTCTCAGGTTTTTGTTGGGGCACGGTTGCATGTTACTGGAGGTGCTCTTAGAGGAGGACGTGCTGTAGAAGGTGAAGCAGCCATTGCAGGTAACATTTTGGTCATTATCTCATCTATATAATAACATGATATTCTACCTTTTCATCTGAATATTTTTCTTTTCAAAATTCTCTCTGTTTCCTAGTTCTGGATACTGCTGCTGGGGTTTGGTTGGATAGGAATGGACTTGTTACTTCTTCGCGGACCAGCAGGGGACATGGCGAACATGATCCTTCTTTAGAACTTATGCGTCGTTGTCGCCATGCCTCTGCATCTGTTGGTGTTCGAATTTATATTTATGGTGGTCTCAGAGGAGGTAAAGTCGTAAAGATTGTTATACAGCTGTGGTTCCTAGTTCCTATATGTTTATCAGTTATCACTCACATGGTGTCTTTTCCATTCAGTTTGTGAGGGTGAATCAGAAAAGCTTTATCCTGTGTCTTTCTACTCAGAAAATGTTTCCCTTTATAGAAATGTATACATTTTTGGGAAATAATAATTTTTCATATGGCAATACATTCATGTCAAGCTAGCTGCCTGAAACTATTTAATACATTTGATTGCAAGGATTCTTATAAAACATATCCTCTTTCTGCTTATAAAAACCTTATCTTTTTGCTTGTCAATTACTCCTTATTACATCTTCCTGAAATAATGAAAAATATGCTGTGGAGGTTCAAAATAAGTTTGTGAGGGAATGTTTAGAGTGAACTATATGTCCTTTGTTTTTAATATTGATCATGGCTAAATTTTTGGTGCTTGGCATTCAGTTCAGACTTTTGTAATTTCAACTCATGTAAATTAGAGAAAAAAATGTTTTATGCTTGTCGGTATACAGTTTTAATGATGTACGGGGGTTTTAAAGATTATGCTGTATATATGTGCAAACTTCTATATGCATTTCCGCACCAGCTATATTGCTATTGCTTGTGCTTCTCAATGATGATGAATGAATTTTGATTTTGTTTTTCTCTCTCCCGCTCTAAATGAATTGTAAGCTTATATATTTTTCTGTGATATCTTCTGTATCATGTGATAACTTTAATTATTTTATTATTCCATGCAGATATCCTGTTGGATGATTTTCTAGTAGCAGAAAATTCATCATTCCAACCTGAAATTAATGCTCCTATATTAACATCTGAAAGAGCTTCAAATTCGTCAACTCCCAGATTTAGTCAACCTACTTTAAGTACAACTGTCGTGACAACTTCAGATGATGGTCTAGAGATCTCTCCATCAGGGACCCAGAGGTTTCACTCAAACTCTCTCACTTTCTCTTTCTGGGAACACTTGACAAAGCACTCCCATTCTTTAAGTTGATTGTTTACTGATCATACAGACTGGATAAAAATTCCATTGAGAAACTGAGGGAGGCTTCTGCAGCTGAAGCTGAGGCAGCAAATGCAGTCTGGCAAGCTGCACAAGGTGCATCAACCATTCCTGCAGAAGAAGCATCAGTATCTGATGACAATTCTCCAGCTGCAGAGACAGCCTCAGATGCTAGCGACAGTGAGGCAGATGTCCGCCTGCATCCTAGAGCTGTATGTATATTAAATTTAAGTCACATGTCTGATTGGCTTTAACTACCCAGCAGCAGTATCATAATGTGTATATTGTATTTGAATGTGTATATTGCATTTGAATTTGAGTCACATGTCTGAGTGGCTTCTTAATTGCAAATGTATTCTCTTTGCAGGTTGTGGTTGCTAAAGAGACTGTTGGGAATCTGGGTGGGATGGTAAGGCAGTTATCCCTGGATCAATTTGAAAATGAAAGCAGACGTATGATTCCCTCAACTTCTGATTTGTCATATCCTACCAAAAAATATACCAGGCAGAGGTCTCCTCAAGGCTTACATAAGAAGGCAAGCATTGCCAAATTTATTTTTCTTGTCCTTAACTTTTCAATGTGGTATTGTTATATATTGTGATATTTAAATTTCTCTTGCAGATTATTTCTACATTGCTTAGGCCCCGAAACTGGAAGGCTCCAGCTAACAGGAGATTTTTCTTGGATTCTTATGAAGTGGGTGAGCTCTGTTATGCTGCTGAACAGATTTTTATTCAAGAACCCACAGTTCTTCAGTTGAAGGCCCCAATAAAAGTCTTTGGTGACCTACATGGACAGTTTGGGGATTTAATGAGACTTTTTGATGAATATGGATTCCCTTCAACTGCAGGAGACATAACGTAAGTTTGGTAATGAAGTTCTTGCCAAGCGTAGATATAGTCAATCTAATTCTTTTAAATTGGTCTATTTAGGATGCTGTAGGAATTGGGTTATGCTTTATTGTGGTAATGAAAAATTTAGAATCTCTTATTGTGTCTTGTTTTGTTCTCCAGATTTCTGTAGCTCATTACTGCATCCTTTTTTGCATATTAATTTAATGATATACCATCTGTGATAAAAGCTCCTCAATTGAATCAATCAGACATGATGGATGGTCCAAAGATGTGTTCAATAGTTGATGCCAAGCTATTACTTCCTATTAGAACTCTAGTTCTACAAATCTTTTCTTTAAATTGCTTCACCAGTTACATTTTATCAGGTACATTGACTATCTGTTTTTGGGAGACTACGTTGATCGGGGCCAGCACAGCTTGGAGACAATAACTTTGCTTCTTGCTCTTAAGGCACACTTCTTTCTGAAGTAGCATTTAACACTAAAATTACCCCTGGAGCTGTCTTATCAGAATCTTATTATCTTCTTTTGGTGATGATTGTCCAGATTGAGTATCCAGAGAATGTTCACTTGATTCGTGGAAATCATGAGGCTGCTGATATAAATGCTCTCTTTGGTTTTCGTCTTGAATGCGTTGAGAGAATGGTTCAATAAATATGGCATATGTTTTAATATGTGGATTAATTTCTTTGTTGTGGAAAGATAGAATGTGCTGATGAATATGTTTTTATAGGGGGAGAATGATGGCATATGGGCATGGAAACGGTTCAATCAACTCTTCAACTATCTTCCACTTGCTGCACTTATTGAGAAGAAAATTATCTGTATGCATGGTGGCATAGGAAGATCTATTAATTCAGTAGAACAGATAGAGAAACTTGAGCGGCCCATAACAATGGATGCTGGATCCATCATTCTGATGGACCTTCTCTGGTATGATTCTTTGGAATCTGTCTATTTGGTATGAGTCTTTCTAGAGATCCAACTTTTTATTCATGGCATTTGCTTATACAGGTCTGATCCCACTGAAAATGATAGTGTAGAGGGTTTGAGACCAAATGCCAGAGGACCTGGTCTTGTCACTTTTGGGGTATGCATGTCATTGCTTAATTGCAAAATAGTTGGTCAGCTCTATTGTTGTATGCATATGTGATTACTTAACAACCTCCTTTTCGCCTACCAAAAAACGAGTTAAAAGTAATATAAAAGGTGGTAAAGAAGATTTGAATTTTTCTAATTTTTGTTCTAAGCATATGCATTGTTGGATGTTATACATTTATCTGACCCAACAATAATTCAATGTTGATCTTTGTAGCCTGACCGAGTCACTGATTTTTGTAAGAGAAACAAGTTGCAGCTTATTATAAGGGCCCATGAATGTGTAATGGATGGGTTTGAACGGTTTGCTCAGGGACAATTGATTACACTGTTCTCTGCAACAAACTATTGCGGTGAGAAAACCCCATCAAGTGTCTGGTTGGCAGTTTTCTGTTGTAATGTTGCTGTCTTATTTAGTATATTCTTTCAGGAACTGCAAACAATGCTGGAGCTATATTGGTGGTGGGCAGAGGACTGGTTATTGTCCCAAAGTTGATTCATCCCTTGCCACCTCCCATCCAGTCCCCAGAAACATCACCAGAACGTGTTGCTGATGACACATGGATGCAGGTAATTTTCATGTTTCAAGAATATTGGAGCTTAACATCCAAAGAAAAAAGAATGGCAAATACGCCACACTAGCTGCTTGAATTAATTCTCTATATGCTTCTCTCATCCACAGGAGCTTAACATCCAAAGACCACCAACTCCAACTCGTGGTCGCCCTCAACCTGACCATGATCGGAGTTCACTTGCATATATTTGATTATAGGAACAGAAGAATTTTTGTAATTGACAGCATTGTTGCGGCACTTCCATGTTCATTTTGCAACCTTGATAAAGGGTAACATAAATACCCCATGGTGAAGCTACACTGCTGTAGTCTGTAATGCTTGTGTTGTATTTTCAAAAGTGCAGAAGACAAAGCCTAATTTACCATACAAATAGCTTGAGAGTTGTACAAGAACTAGGTTTGGTTGAGTGAAATATATGTACAATTTTTAGTCCATGATATTGCCCAACAGATATAGCTGAGAAAGTTTGAAATTTAGCTTGTGCTTTGTAACATAAATAATTATATGTTGAGATTCTTGATACAGCAATTTAATCATTTTGGAATTTCAACTCTCTGCACGCGTGAACAATAAAATTTTCTTTAAAATTCCAAAGCATTTGCAAGAATGTTTCAATTTATTTCTTTATACAGCCCAAATGGACGAAATTTTTGTTCATCTTTTTTAGCACTTCCTTGTTTGGTTTTTCATAAAGCTTGTTGAGTAGGAGAGAGTTTGCTGTATCCCGAGATACACAGATGTGGTATCCCAACCCAAGCTGAAAATACAACATCAGTTTTTTACCACACTTCATCAATCATTGATAAAAACCAAAAAAAGGTTGATGTGGTGTTTTTGGATTAAGTTGGGATACCACGTCTATTGTATGCGGTGATACAGTAGATTTTCTCTGTTGAGTAGATCATTAGATCATCCTTCGTCTGTGTCTTCTATGAAAAAAACGAAAATTTCATTCAAGCATTTTAGTAAGAGAATGTAGTGGTGCAGTTCACTACTTCTGCTGCTTACTCGTGTTATTCTTTGTATCCATGGCCATTCATCATTCCACTGGCCTGGGGTATGCACAATAAGCAATTTCTCAAGGGTGACAGACTATACTTAGAGAATGCACAAAAGAAGAAGAAGAAGAAGAAATGTTACCTAGATCATCCAAATGACTAAACTTGCATACCTTCGTGATAGCAAATCCTTTAGCTTTAGTCTTATGCAAAATGGTCAACCAGCCTAATATTAAATTTTGAAGCCAAGTTGAACAGCCAGATGGTTTTGTGAAGAAGGGATCAGAAAACAAAGGTCTATTGGCTCAAAAAGGTTTTGTATGTATTAATTAAAACATGCTCTCATGGCAGGGTTGATGATCATCCGCGAAGTTTGGGATTTGCTAAGAACCTCATTGAAGACACCTTCTTTTTAAAAAGGATGGGGCAGATTTGGCGATTGTTTCCATTGTGTGGATGACTTGTTGGCAACAGGAAACAGTGAGCCTAAAGTGAATGAATCTCTTCAGAACAGAAATGAAGAAAGTGTTTGAGATAAATGAACTTGGGAAAATGTCCTACTTACTAGGTTTGGAAATTCATCAGTCAAACCAAGGCATCTTCATTTCTCAAAGGAAGTATAAATTCTGGGGAACTTTGCCATGACAAACTGTAAAGTAGTTAGCACTCCTTTTGTTTCAGGCCAAAAATTTTACTTTAGTGATGGTGAAAACTTATTCCAGTTTATGCATCAAGTGCCTGACATTATGCATTATGTGAGCGTACTGTTTAGATTTATACAATCGCCAAGTAAGGAGTGTATTAAAGGTGTAAAACCAGTGCTATTGCCAAAAATCCTGTGCTCTATGGGAAAGCTAAGCAATTCATGGTCAAGTTTCATGCTGTTAGATTGTCTAAGGATGGAAGAAGTGGTGGTAGTGCTAATGCATTGTAATTCAGATCAGCTATTAGCATGTATTTTTACAGTGGTTGTAAAAATCTAGATTTCAATCGTTGAGGAGGACGAGTGTTAAGCTCATGCAGATGCGCCATGGTGAACAGTGGCATTCAAAGCTGCATTTGGACTCCCAAGTGGTTGCAATCTTATGATCATTTTGTTGTACTTTATTTTATTTTTTATGAAGATGTAATCCTTCTCTTAAAATGTCTATATACATTTTATACAAACTCCTTTGATTAAGCAAGAAACCAAGGACCATAATACCAGGAACTTTACTTGGTTGGCTACTTTTAAATTACTCCATTTCAGCTTCTGTGGACAAAAAGGCAAAAATCAACAGAATCTTGTTCCGCTCTTCATTTGCTCTCCATTTCTTTGTTTTCAATAGCTAACAGATCTGCTAATTAAATCCTCTTCAGTTGAACTTTGCTCATCAGTATTACCCTGCTTTCTTGGACGTCCCTTGCGTTTTACAGCAGGGCCTCCTTTCTCATCTGCAATAAACTACTTCATCAACTCCAAATTTACAATTCAAGGAGTTTCCTCCAATTGAAAAATGAAGGTTAAAGTGCTGAAGTGAAGCAAGTTTCCCTTGGTGCAAGAGATCATAGAGCTTAATAAACATCAAAAACTACATTCATTAGAAGTCGAGTGCACCTGTACCTTGCAGACCTTCATTCTTTGCATACTTTTCTTGCAAGCTGTCATAAAATGTAAAATATGGGCGCCACCCACTAGGGTCTTCAACTGTGTTCACATTCTTCATCCTCTTCTGTACATCATCAGTCATATTGCTTGCATAGAGATTTGAAAAAAAAAAAAAATTAGATAATGCCAAAGGGTGGCTACTAGTGTCAAACAAGAGAGAAGGGGTGGGACGAAAGAAAATAAGAGTGCCATGCAAAGGGAATGAAATAGAAAGCTTCCCCATGAGATCCAACGAAAACTCTTACATTCCCTGAACATCAGTTGAAGGAAGTTTAGATGCAAATTGAAACACTGCAGATTCCAAGAAAGATAGCTGCTTAGGTGGATTAACAAAAGCATATTCAATTCCTTCCTTGACAATCCTCAAAATATCTGGCCTGCGCTTTGTTCAGAGTGGCACCCATGAACATTCTAGAAAGCCTAGATGCTAGATCTTTACATTCTTGAAGGGACTTGCCTTTCAATGATTCATCATCACTTGTGGAGTCTTGCACAGGATAACGATGATAAGCCCAGGGATTATAAAAATTGGGTTAGCTACATATAATGGAGAGAAACATACTAGGGTAATTAGGTACCACCACACACCAAAGCCATACTAATATTAACTCAGAAACAGAATACTTGACTGGATTTATTATAAAAAGATCCTAACAAACTCTGAATAGAAGACCTTTGACTGTACGTGAAAGGCCAACCAAAGCAGGGTTTTATCAGAAAAGGTCCATTCTTCTTGGCCACAATAAATACCATTCACTGTCAAAATAAAGCAAGGCATCATAATTTAATATGAACAAATAGAATTCAACAAGCTCATTGCTCTGTGGATGTATCACATGGAAGCACTTTTCAATTATTAAACCCAAGAGCTTGCTGGACTTTGATGTTTGTCTGACGGTTATCGTGAGGAGAAAGTTCTCCTTAGATATATCTCAACAAAAGCATGTTTCAGTCCTTACTACCAAAAACTTGCAGGGCTTTGATGCTTTGTTATGGTTATCAAAAGGTGAAAGTTATCCTTCATCCTTTGCAGACAATCATGAATTAAGAGGCTAGTAAGTGGTTTCTTACTCATTTAAGGGCTTATAGCCAGCACTATTATAATCGCTCCCTTCATCTACCACACAAGGTTAGCTCATAAACATGCAAAGTGAAGTAGAAAAATTTAACAACTAAGAATACTATAAGCTTTTTTCTCCAAGATTATAATCACAGGCAAACCTATATGAGCTCTTTATGGCCCTTGCTCCCAACAAGTTTTTGCACTTTGATGCTTAACCCATGACCAAACTAAAGAAAAGAAAATTGGTGCTTTATTAGAAAAAGGCTTAACAGAGTTGGTAACTACCAACTAAAAAACCTTGATTTGGGTTTAAGGTCAAGGATTCGAACTCCTACAATGCCAAGCAACCAACTCCCAATGTAGCAAAAAGAAAAAAAAAAATGGTATCATGGCGTTGGCACTTGGCAAATAAGTTTGCTACTTGCTAGGTGCCCTCCCAACAGGAATATAGTCAGTTCATGGCTATAAGGGGTTATATCCTCAAGTTCTGTCCTCAGATCGTACCCTTTCATTATCCTACACAATGTTATTTGAAGAAAATAAAGGAAAAAAAATAACATTTTTGAATGACGATGTCCAGAGAATAAGTTGCAGACACCAAAACAACTACAATTAACAGATCGTAAACTCATCTTCGCACATAAAAGCAGAATTACCAACTTAACCAAACTTAGCAAACAACAAAATTATGAGGTCTACCCTTTTCAATGCTGCTAGAAAGATTTCAGAGACACCGCCATCTTTCTTGCCTAGAACCATGATAAGATATGCTTGATGATATCTGCCACACTAGTTCCATGCATCACAAATTGGGAAATAATTTCTGGAGCAAGATACTCCTGCAAGTGATATTTGCATTGAAGATGCCTTAAGTGAGTTCCTTCGTAGATTAAGGGGGCAAACGATAACTGAAAAGAAATGGTTTACGCAAAGTGCAATACAGAATAATGATATTTTTTGGCCATCACAATTCATGACTACATTATACTCAGACCTTGGGAACTGTATCATTACCAATCAACTTTGCAGCGGCAATCATGACAGCATCTTTATTTGTGTCCTCAACATACTCTTTGTTCATTTCATCATCACCTGTCTCATCTGTGACCCATACATGGCAAAAAGAAAACTAAACTTACAAATGTGTTAGCAACATAGAGCATAAACATAAATTTAGCAGTTAAGCACCAAATCTGTCAGCTTATGCCAAGACCTTCTCCGTGCTTTACTAAACAAGAGTTACATGGTAGTTTCTTTCACTTTATGACATCATGTTCTCAGATGGTCAAGCAATAACAGACAAGATCCTTATGTCAAACAATGAACTAAGAGGAAATGAAAGAAATCAGTCACCTGAAATATTGAGCTGCTGTTCACAAAGTCTCCAGAACTTTTGAAGAAAAGGGGAGTCTGGAAAATATCCTAATCTCTCAAGCTTTGTTGGAAAAAAGTTTGTTTTTCTAAACTAACTCCAAATGTCGGCCAGTATAGTGCAAACCTAGGTTGCCACACAGACATGGTTAGATGAAAATTAGAAATTCCAGAAAAATAACATCTAAGATTGATGCAAACGTTGCTTTTGGTTAAAGCTAACATGTTAGTCCAAAAATGCCTACTCTGCAAGCCAACTGATTTCGTGTTTGACTCTCTTCCCTAACTTCAGGCAGGGTGTTAAGGAAGTAATCGAGTTCCTCCAACAAGGTATCACGTTTGGACAAGAGAGAAGATAAGGTTGCTTCCACTACAGTTTCACTTTTTATAATAGAATGAAGAGACCAGGCTACATGCAAGTGCATATTTATAAGCAAAAAACTGACGACCTGAATGAAGAATAAGAAAGTGTCAAAAACAAATGCTAGGAAGCAGGATAAAACAAATGGATGATTCTCAAAGTTCAGTAAACACACCTGACCATCCAAGTTTTT